CCTTTCCCTCAACACTATTTTAGATCTTACAGGGTGGAGAGCTTTCCCGTTCCCTCAACACTATTTTAGATTTACAGGCTGGAGGCGTCCGTCCCTCAACCCACTATTTTAGATCTTACAGGCGGGGAGAGCTTTCCTTTCCTCAACACTATTTAGTCTTATAGGGAGGGGAGGCGTTTCCGTCCCCTCAACACTATTTTAGATCTTGCAGGGTGGGAGGAAGCGTCCCGTCCCCTCAAAACTATTTTAGATCTTACAGGGAGGGAAGAGGGTTCCCGTCCCCTCAACACTATTTTAGATCTTACAGGGAGGGGAGAGCGTCCAGTCCCTCAACACTTTTTTTAGATCTTACAGGGTGGAGAGCGTCCCGCCCCCTTCAACACTATTTTAGATCTTGCGGCTGGAGAGCGTCCCGCCCCCTCAACACTATTTTAGATCTTACAGGGTGGGGAGAGGGCCCGTCCATCAACACTTTTTTTGATCTTGCAGGCTGGAGAGCGTCCGTCCCCTCAACACTATTTTAGATCTTACAGGGGGGGAGAGCGTCCCGTCCCCTCAACACTATTTTAGATCTTGCAGGGTGAGAGAGCGTTCCCGTCCCCTCAACACTATCCGACTTCTTTCAATTACTCCCGTGAGTTTTTTTTCCCCTGTCATTTCCCTTTCCATGTGGTGCCTCATGGTCCACTCTAGCCACGGGGGGGCGCCCCGCTGGAGAAACGGTGGGAGACCCGCTGGAGCCACGGTGGGCGACCCGCTGGAACCACGGTGGGCGACCGTGGAACCACGGTGGGCGACCGCTGGAGCCACGGTGGGCGACCCGCGGAGCCACGGTGGGCGACCGCTGGAGCCAAGGTGGGCGACCCGCTGGAGCCACGGTGGGCGACCCGCTGGAGCCACGGTGGGCGACCCGCTGGAGCCACGGTGGGCGACCCGCGGGGAACCACGGTGGGCGCCCCGCTGGAGCCACGGTGGGCGACCCGCTGGAGCCACGGGGGCGACCCGTGGAGCCACGGTGGGCGACCCGCTGGAGCCACGGTGGGCGACCGTGGAAAGCCACGGTGGGCGACCCGCTGGAGCCATGGTGGGCGACCGCTGGAGCCACGGGGGGCGACCCGCTGGAGCCACGGTGGGCGACCCGCTGGAACCACGGTGGGCGACCCGTTTGGAACCCACGGTGGAGCCACTGTGGGCCGACCGCTGGAACCCGGTGGAGCCACTGTGGGCGACCCACTGGAGCCAGGGTGGGGCGACCCGCTGGAGCCAAGGTGAGCGACCTGCTGGAACTATGTGGGGACCCGCTGGAGCCAGGGTTTGGGCGACCCGGGGAGCCACGGTGGGCTACCCGCTGGAGCCACGGTGGGCGACCCGCTGGAGCCACGGTGGGCGACCGCTTACCACGGTGGGCGACCACTGTAGCCCGGTTGTAGGCCCACTGAAGCCACGGTTGTAGGCCAGGGGGAGCCACAGTGGTCCGCACAAGTTGGCTCGTGTCTACCTCATTACACTCATCAACCGCACATACTTCCATCCTTTGTAAATCATCAAAGTGTTTCCCTCCATCAATAAATAAGAACACTGAGCTGTGCTTGATTTTCTAATTCTTTACTACATCAACAGATGGCAGCACCGCCGGTCACTATCTGGGTCACTGTTTTTTTTTTTCACTTCAACAGATGCAGCACCCCCAGGTCCCCGCCTGGGTCACTGGTTCTTCAGGATGCCACCACAACAGTCGACTAACACCAGGTACCCACTTATTGCTAGGTGAACAGGGACGCAGGTGTAAGGAAACCCTGACCAACGTTTCAATCCCCCTTGTTTGTTTTGCCTTCACAGGGGCCTTGATACGGTGGGGGCTCTTGATTCAAGGAATTGAAGCAACCCTCCCTTCTTTGGGTCATATCTGATACTCTACTCCACAGGGCGCTACCTTATGGGCTTCTAAAAGTAAAATATGCCTTGTGGACGAATAAATTATGTAATTACTTAATTATTATTTGATAAAGGGGAAGTTCCTTCAGTCACCCAACTTAATGTGGGATAATAACGACAGTGTCACATTGTTTGACGGGATATGTGTAATTATTATGAGACAAACTTATCACCAAAAAAGAGAATTTTGAGAAACGGAGAGGTAGACTATTTTAATTTCCCTTGTTGCAATAAACCCGCCCCTGTAAATTCATCAAGAGAATACAGCTACGTTTTTTTCAGAGGTCACACCCCACACACACACACACCCCCACAACACACACACCACACACAACACCACACACACAAAGCACACAAAAACACACACCCCACACACACACACACACCCCACACACACCACACACACACACACACAACACACACCACACACACACACACACACACACACACACACACAACACACACACACACACACACACAAAACACACACACACACACACACACACACCCCACACACACACACCACACACACATGGGCGCCTAGCAAACCTCAGAACGCATTCCGAAATCTTAATAAGGAATCGTTCAGGACCCTGTACACCCTATACGTTAGGCCCATATTGGAGTATGCGGCACCAGTTTGGAACCCAACCTAGAAAACACGTAAAGAAACTAGAGAAAATGCAAAGGTTTGCAAAAAAGAAGTCCCCGAG